TATAGTAATAAGGGGAATGCAGGCATCGGCCAACCTCCTGGTCTTGGAAAGAGCTGAGTTTTCTAAGCGCTTCAACTCCCTGGTCATTCTGTCTGTGCTTACTCTCTAGGTACCCCCAAGGGCAGCGGAAGTGCAGGGCCTGCGGGCTCGGAGCGCACGCCTTTCCTTTCTCCTTCTCACTCGGACTTTAAGGAAGAGAAAGAGAGGCTCTTACCGGTGGGCTCGCCCTCTCCGGGCCCGGAACGGCCGCGGGACGGCGGTGCTGAGCGGCAGGCCGGAGTAGCCAAGAAGAAGACACGCACCGTCTTTTCCCGCAGTCAGGTGTACCAGCTTGAGTCCACCTTTGACATGAAACGCTACCTGAGCAGCTCGGAGCGCGCCTGCCTCGCCTCCAGCCTGCAGCTCACCGAGACCCAGGTTAAGACTTGGTTCCAGAACCGCCGCAACAAGTGGAAGCGGCAGCTCTCGGCCGAGCTGGAGGCGGCCAACATGGCACACGCGTCGGCGCAGACTCTCGTGGGCATGCCGCTGGTGTTTCGGGACAGCTCACTGCTGCGAGTGCCGGTGCCGCGCTCGCTCGCCTTCCCGGCCCCGCTCTACTACCCCAGCAGCAACCTTTCGGCCTTACCGCTCTACAACCTGTACAACAAGCTTGACTACTGAGCCGCCCGCCGGCTCCCAGGGCGTCCCTGGCCGCCTGCAATCGCCTACGTACCGGGGCGCGAGCGCGGGCGGCATCCTTCCCAGGGCTCCGGAGCAGAGCGTCGCGTGTCCAGAAATATTAAGAAATACACCATGTGTATTCGTTATGTCTTATTTATGGCCTCTTCCCTACTTTTTTGTTTGTTTGTTTGTTTTGGGTATTTATCTGCATTCCTCGCGCCAGAACACCTGCTTTCTACACAAAACCCAAACCATACGCGTTTGAAAACTTACAAAAGGGGAGATTCTCGGGTGGTGGTGGGAAAGGGAGTTTTAGCTAGGTTGCTTTCGGCTGGTAGCAAGAAAAAAAATCAGAACACCAACAAAACCGGGTACTCGTTCTCCCATATATACACCTGTTATGTATTTATGTATATGTGTGTTTGTATAAGGACACACGCTCAGCCAAGCCGAGCCCCCTGGGGCCTTGGTCACTAACCTAATCACATCTCTTCATTCCCTTCATCTTGAGGGGTGAAATGAGGAGAGTACAGATCTGTAAATATTTTTAAAGAGAAAAAGAATAAAACGTTTTAAACATGGTTGCTAACTTTGGAAGGATTAATTGTCCTGTGACACTACGCACAGAGTGATTTCCGGATTTTTAGTGCCAGAGCATGCAAGAGTCTCTATAACCTCCTCCCCCTGCCACTAAGGTCCTGCTCTCTCTGCGTGAGAGCGGGGTTGGGCTCAGAGGTTAAAGGTCGGGATATTGGGGCTGCCCAGGCAGCACGTGACTGGAGCTGCTTACTGGGACAGCACAGTTCCCACGATCCAGTTGTGAGGGTTGGGGTGCACTCCGGGATGGAATCGAGATCCCAAGCCGGCACTGAGAAAGACAAAGGCAGAGAGGCAGGCCTGGCTGCTGACGGGGTTGCCTCTGGGAATAAATCAGGCAAGAAGGGGAACATCTCCCTGGTGCTGGGATCGTTTCTTGAGCTAGACTGAAGCTGGGCAAGCCATGAAAGGCCGAAGCCGAGTGGCGCGCTTGGCGTCCTCCTTCGCAGAGTAACAGAGTATGCGAGAAAGCGGCCGCTTGGGGTCCAAAGCTCTTTGCGCGATCCTGCTTGCAGCCAGGCACAGTTCTCCGGTTGGTAACAACAAACTGCATGTTCTGCGCGAAGCGGAGCAGAAGGTGATGCCTAAAGGCCACGTTTCGATGGAGGGATTCGTGGATCAGGTGGTAGTACATTTTTTTGTAGTTGTTAAATTTGCACTGTGAGTGGCTAAATTGTCGGATCGTCGGCCAGCACGCAGCGGCTGTTTCTGACTTGAACCCTGAAATACAGTGGAGACACCTAAGGACTGCCCAGACAGTCTGCCTCCACGCAGGAGCTGGGGAGGCGCTGCACCCAGAGAACAGCAGCATCAGAATTATATAAATCGCATGACTTTTCTTCGTTTTGATAGTAGCCACCTGTTCCTTGTTAAACGTCAGAAATGGATGCAGGAGCTTGAAGGAGGCCTCAGGTGGAGTTTCCAGGTCTACCTGCTTCCCCTCAGTGGTTGACCAGGTGCAAGGGGCTAGGAGTCAGCGGCAAGGCCATATTTCTTCAGGAGAAAACCTTTGCCTGAGTAACCTGTCTCTGCACTAAGAGGCATCGAAATGACTTGCATTTTGTAGAAATACACAGAATACAAATGTTTTCATGACCCATACCATTCCGTGTAAAACGCCTGGTCGAAGAGATTTGCTCTGATATTGCCCACTTTCTTCTTATCACGTTGTATTTCATAAAACCCGCAACTACTCCAAGGTGACATCAGATGGATGCTATTCAAGAATGCACCTGCCAGTACTAGGTTGGTTCGCTTCCATTTATTTCATTTTAGCTGTATTCATGTCCACAAGTATTTGTTGAGGCCCTAACACATGCTGAGAATCTACACTAAATTTGGGGTGGTCAGAGAGAGAATGTTAGTTCTCTTCTTGTTTATTGAATGTGTGTATTTTATCTCATTAACGCTGATATGCTAGATATTCTCTTTGCATTCTTTCCCTGACAGCATTCTTTGAACATTCCACACAGAAACAACCAAATTACTTCAGAGGAACATCTTGTAAAGGAATATTCCATTCAGATAATTTTGGTCTGCATTTCCATAGGTTACAATTTTCTGACAGACTTAACAGTATGGATCACCATATTCTCTTTAGCCTGGCTTTCTCTATAGGTAGTGACTTCCTCCAGTCACTGTCAGTACATAATTAATATTTTAGGGAATGACCATTTTTCCAGTTGTCATACAGTGCATATTTGACTATCTTCATTCACTCAGATATTAGCTGTGACAGGTGACCCAACACTGCAATTAGTTTCTAGGAGTGTTTCCAACAGGTGACTGAATATTACATGCTTTACATTTGTGTTGTGAATGTTCAAGACTCTACTGTTGCCAGATTTCCTATCGCAAGTCTATCAATTCATTTGAATAATCAGCAAAATAGTCCATCTCCTTTCAGGCTCTAAACTTGATTTAAAAGATTGACGTTTCTTAAAACTCAAATAGAGTTGGGCTGCAACTGCATGGCCAGAGGGACCTGAATCATACACACACTGGATAATGAAATACGCTCAGATTTTATTAGCAGGTAATTTATGCTCAGAATCTGGAAACACTAATAGAATTAAATAAACAATTGGGAAAGAGAAGCAAATAAGTCAAGAGGGAAAATTATTTTGCTAAAGTTAGAATGCAAAACAACTCACTGCATTTAAAAAATTTTGAACTTGGCCATTGATTTGTTGAAAGAGAAGAGACGAGAGAGAGAGAGAAAGAGAGAGAGAGAGAGAGAGAGAGAGAGAGAGAGAGAGAGAGAGAGAACACCAAATACTAGAACTATCTGAAGAGGGAAGAGGTCCAGAATAATTTAGCCATAATAAGCATCATCAGGGCAATAGGAGAAAGGCTCTCTCTCTCTCTCTCTCTCTCTCTCTCTCTCTGTCTCTGTGTGTGTGTGTGTGTGTGTGTGTGTGTTGTCAGGAATCTTAAGTGCATTTAGTTGAGAATGTGTGCATACCTAGAGATCAATTTGTCTTTATTAATGTACCTTGAAATTTAAATAGCTTAATCCTAGCAACAGTTTGTTTGTTTGTTTGTTATTTTTGTTTTTTGAGGTTTTCTTCGTTTAGCTTTGGAGGCTGTCCTGGAACTAGCTCTTGTAGACTAGGCTGGCTTCAAACTCACAGAGATCTGCCTGCCTCTGTCTCCTGAGTGCTGGGATTAAGGGCATGTGCCACCTTCCCACCCCCACCCCCAACCCCCGGCTAGCAACACTTTCTACTTCACAAAAAATTACAAATTAAAAAAGACTGTTTCAAAATAAGAGGTGGAAATGAAAAAGAAGTTGTGGCAAGGATTAAATAGAAACTCTCAGTAATATTCTGCATGCCAGTATGCCAGCCACCATATTCTGTTTGTCAAGTACTGATTTTCTTTCACAGAACCAAAACAATTTTTTGTCACCGAGGCAACCCCCTTTGATTCTCATATTTCTGGAGGATTTTAGAAACAGAAAATGCAGCAAAGTGAGCCTGGAGCTCAAGTGGTATGTTAGGATAGAAGGGGAGAGGACAGCCACACTGTTAGGACCTATGATGAACATCCCTAAAATATTCTGTTTGAGCTTTAAAATATTGGGAATGTGTCCTACTCCGTTTACCTTTTTGGATGTGGTGTTATTCTAAAACAAGGAGTAGTTTGATTGAATTCATATCTCCAGGCCTGGCACTCATCTCCACTGTTTGATAACTATGGAGAGATTAAAAAAAAAAACAATAGAAATGGGGCTAGTTCCTATGAGATCACTAGAACTCAAGGGAAATGAGCCTCTAGTTTACAGAAGGAAACCCCAGAAAAATGAAGGCAAATAATGCAATTGATTGACTAAGGTTAATTCCAGGGTACTCTCAGAAAGAAAATAGTAATTTAACTCTATAGTGTATCAACCAAAACGGGATTCTGTGTCTGAGAGACACAGGAGAATGGTGCCACAACCAGAGCTATATACAACATCTTTCCTGCCTCCAAGTCTGTGGATGGTCAGGCAGGCAGCCCCAGAAAGACTACATCTCCCTGCATGCAGCATACAAATGTGGGCGGGTATGAGTGGCCCCTTGATCGGAGCAGAATTGGGAGTTGTAGTTTCCCTGCGCAGCTTCAGCGACGTAACCACTGCGTGGTTGAACTGAGACCCCGTGGACGGAAAAAAACGCGCTTGCCCTTTGAGCCGGAACAGGATGACTACGGTAATGACGCGAGCAGCAGATCGAACCAATTAGCGGCCTAGATCGAGCCGTTGGCGTTCGAAATCAGCCAATGATAGCCCTGCTCCGGAGCTCTTTCTCCGCCTCCTCCGCTGGCCTGCGAGTGCTCGGAGAGAAACGGGGTGTTAGTGGCCGGTGCGGAAACGTTGCTTAGGCTAACACGAGGTAGAGGTCCGGGCGAGGGCGGTTGGGGCGGGGTTCGCGGCCTGTAGCCGGCCGGTCAATGCACAGGGGGATCCGGTTGGGGTCCACTGCGTATTACATGGGGAACCGCGGGCAGGGAAGGAGGCCGGGCCGGGTAGAGCTCGGCGGGAACGGGATGGCGGCCAGTGAGACCCGGCCCGGCCTGTGTTGCCTCCGGTGAGGGACTCAGATTTACCGTTTTTCTGCAGATGACCGGTTCAAACGAGTTCAAGCTCAACCAGCCACCCGAGGATGGCATCTCCTCGGTCAAGTTCAGCCCCAACACCTCTCAGTTCCTACTGGTCTCCTCCTGGGATACGTCTGTGCGCCTCTACGATGTGCCCGCCAACTCCATGCGACTCAAATACCAGCACACTGGTGCTGTCTTGGACTGCGCTTTCTACGTAGGTGGACCCAGTTTCTTCTCCTGTCCCCTTACTGAGTTAGTGTAGGCAGTATCAGTAGCATCCCAGACACGATTTGGAGTATTTGGACAGTTGATAGTGTTCTGGAATGCCTCCCTTTTAGCCTGGTTTTGAGCCTACTACCATGGTTTATTTTTGGTTCTCCTTTCATCGCAGTTTCAATGCCCCTTTTCAAGTTCAAAAAACTTTCTGGACGTAGGGTAATTGTATTTGAAATTCTCAGCAGTACTAATTTTGCTACCTTATTAAAAGGAGTGATTAAAAGTGAATGTCGTCTAGTTAGCTGCTGGCGTCAATAGAGTAAAGCTGCTCTTTATTCGTTTTGGCATCGCTTGCATTTTTACTTCCTAGTGCCGGTCACACTGGACATAACCCAAACAGTTGACTGTAGAAATAGCAATTTTGAAATGCTTGCTAAAGCTTTGTTTGTAACTTTGAAGTGGTTCAGAATTTTAAGGGGCTGGGCTTGGTGGCCAAGCCTTTATTCCCAGAGGCAGAGGCAGAGGCAGGCCAATCTCTTGAGTTTTGAGGCCAGCCTTTTCTACATAGTGAGTTCCAGGACCCCCAGGGCTCCTAGTGAGACCTTGTCTCAAAAAACCAAGCCAAAACAAAACTTTATTTTGTAGGATCCAACGCATGCCTGGAGTGGAGGATTAGATCATCAACTGAAAATGCACGATTTGAACACTGATCAAGGTAATATGGCCACATATTAGCAGTCTTCTTTGCCAATGTGTCAGTGTAGAAATGATTATTAGGACAAGTAGTTGGTTTGGATGCTTAGGTGAAGGTGGAAAGTGACTTTGATAATAGGCTTTTTGAATTAGAGTTGAGTTGCACAAAAGAGTGTGTGTTTTTTTTTCATGAAGCCCATTTTGAGCACTGTCTTCCATGTTTACCAGAAGTGTCACAGAAGCACTGGACCATTACCTTTAGAAGTCTTTAAGAGTGGACTGCATGCATGGTCTGTGGTTTGTCAGGATCTCCTAGAACTGTTTGATGTTTTAGGGTGGTCTCCTCACAAACTAATGACAAGTGTGTTTTAAAAATGCAGCACAATTGCAGGTCACGCTCACCTTAGGGAAGCTTTTGTATTCTTAGCTGGAGCATGTATTTCAGTTGCATGTGTAAAAACATTTTTTAGAGTTTTTATGATTTCACTGAGGCAGAAACTTGGAATGAACCCAGCTGTGCAGAGCTCCCTGAGCTTTGTTTGCTTGCCCTATACTGGATGTGGGTATGCTTGAAGGAGATGGCAGGGTGTCGTGCAGTAATGAACAATGGGAGGATGGTTCGAGAAGCATGTCTGAGCTGGGTGTGGTAGTGTTTTCTGTAATTCCAGCACTGGGAAGGGGGAGGCAGGAGGATCAGAAATTGAAGGCCAGCCTCAGCTACATAGCCGGTTTGAGGCTAGCCTAGGCTAAATGAGACTGTCTCAAGGAAAAAAGAGCAGTGTTTCATTGGAAGAGACCTTTGTATGAAAGTGACTTTTGGTGTGTATTTTGTACATGCTAGGCAAGCAGTCTTCCTGAGCTACATCCCCAGGCCTGTTATCCATGTCCTTGTATCTTTTTGTTACATGGGGTTTGGCACATAGTAGATACTTACTAGATGTTGACTGAGTGAACAAATGAGATATTGTGAAGGTTGAAATTGACAGGAAAGAAATTATGTAGTAGAAATTTGACCTTAGCATGAGAACAAAGTAAATGAACTCAGCTATCAAATCTGTAACCATTTCTTACTAGCATTGGCTTAATGTGAAGAAAGTGTTGTCAGGGTCCAGGAAACCAGAGACCTCCACTTATTTGTTCATTCAACAAGTATTTCTTGAGCGCCTACAATGTACTAGATCTTGTACTAGTTACAAACAAAGGCACAAGAGTTAAAGCAGTTTTCTTATAAAATCTAGGATCAAGTTAATTAGTATGCACCATCTTAATACAGTTGGAGATTGAAGGCAGCTGTGCTATATGCTTGCTGTGGAATTAACATGTGCAGTGTGAAGTAAATGAGACAGGAATGGGTAACTTTGTAGTCATGGAGAAATTTTTCCGAATGCAGACATTTCTGTGGAGTTGGTTGAGACGAATTCCTTTCAGTTGAAAGTCCCGTTAGTTCACTTGAGGTATCCTAGTTAGTTGAGATAGTAAAGCTAGATGTGTTGTTTTTATTTTATTTTCCTTTGTAATAGAAAATCTGGTTGGAACTCACGATGCCCCTATCAGATGTGTGGAGTACTGTCCGGAAGTGAATGTGATGGTTACTGGAAGTTGGGATCAGACAGTTAAACTGTGGGATCCCAGAACTCCTTGTAATGCTGGGACCTTCTCTCAGCCCGAAAAGGTAGGGTCTTTATGTTCATATGGGTGCTGTACTCATTGGGGTAATTTGTTTTGGTGCATGTTTGATGAATATGCTGTTGAATGGACTTAAGAACTGGTGGCCTGTTTTAGAAACCTAACTGCCTAGACATGCTTTAATGTGACAGGAATTAACTTTGCAGTTTTGGTCATCTTTTTCTGTCAGTTGTTAAACTTGGGCTAGTGAGCACAACTTAACATTCTCACTCTGTGTATTGTTAAGCTTTAGAGCAGAGGTCTGAGAAGTGAGTGACTCCCTACCTTTTCAGAGAAGCCGTTTACAGAGAAGGCCCTCTTAAACTCAGCTTGACACCCCACTCCAGAAAATGGGATGAAGCATCACTCATTTTCAGTTGTGACTCGAGGTCCCATTTGAATTGACAGTTGAGAATAAAAGGGGTTATCATTTCAACTTCAGTGAGAGAGATGTGCTCTCTGACTTTTATTGCTATGTGTGTATTTAAATGCTGGCAGATGTAATTTGAAGGCTTGTAGTAAATGGAGCTTTTAAATACTTTGAATCTAAATTGTATTTCCCATAGGCAGTACCATAGTTGGGTCTTGGGTTTTTTTGTTTGTTTGTTTGTTTTATTTTTTCAATCCAGTTTGGCAATCCTGCCTTTGGATTATAAAACCATTTGTAGTTATGATTCCTTTTTTTTTTTTTTTTGAGAATTTCATACTGAGTACACTGTATTTACAGCTTTTCCACTCCATCATTTCCCTCTCCAACTCCCTCCACTCACTATGAGGTTCATGGCCTTTTCTATAATTATTATTGTTTTATACACATGCACACATGTGAACACACACACACACAAGTTACTGAATTCATTTTTATGAATGTGTTTATGTCCCTGGAGAAGACTGATTCTCCTGTGAATGGAGCTTTTTAAAACAACTTTGTGTCTTCTGACTTCTTGATCTGTCTGATAAACCTACTTAAGCTATATTCTCATCAGACTTTTATCAGGTGGTAGTTAATTTAAAAGATGGATTGTTTTAGCAGTTTAAAGGTATTCTTCACTTGAGTCTATTTCCCTAGTGTAAATACACTGTTCGGCCCTGTTAGCTGTTGTTATATACAGCAGTGTGTCCAAAGAGCCATTATTTTTGTCACGTCTCAGTCGAATCTACTCCTGGCAAGACCTTTGTTCAGAATAAAATAATTGCATTGTTTCTAGTTTTGATTTATGGTTGTATGTAACATGTTAAGAACGGTGATAAATTGCTGACAGACTATCATATAATGGACAGCCACATTGAATCAAGCTGCTTATTGGTTCAGCAAGGTTCATTATGTCACTTTTTTTAATACTTTCTTTGATAAATGTATATACCTAGTCAGTAGCATGACAGTGGTTTTCCTTGATTTATGATCAGTGGGGATAGAAAGCAGTTTTAGAAGCTTGTGTGTCACCTGTATAGTAAAGATTTAACGTAAGTTCCTGATACAGTTGTACCATTATACATTGATCTTTCTGGTTATTTTTTAAGTTTAGCATTTCATATATTGTAGATTAATTTTCTTTCTTTCTTTTTTTTTTTTGAAAATACTGGCTTTCTGAATATACTTATTACACTATTCTGATTTAAATATGCAATCATTAATTATATTTCATTTTTTGAAAATTCTTATTTTTCCTTCAGTTGCATTAGTTGTTCTTTGCCTGGTGTGCTGTTGTTAGCATACTGGTGATTATTAACTATATGGCTTGGTTATTGAGGGTTAAAAGGAAGTCTTACTATATCATGGCTCCTCTACATTTTTTAATAGCAGTTCTGCAGTGGTTGAAAGCCAACAAAAACCTTTGTTATATATCTCAGGTCTAGATTTTTAAGGAAATAACTCTAGTTAGGAAGACACTTTTTGCTGCTCTTTCATGAATTTGCTCCTTCTGGTGTCTTATTTGTTAGTAAGCCCCTAAATGTTCTGCTTGCAGGAAATCTATGCTTTCTTATAAAGGTGTTTGTGTGGAAGCTTAAACATTGAAGAAAAGACATTATGAGGGAGAAAAATAGATACTTGGAGGCGATAACAGGCTTTAAGTTTTTTTGTTTGTTTGTTTTATCCCCTTAAGCTGAGCTTACTTCTTTGAACATGGAACATGATGACATCAGAGCATAAGGGTTAGCTTTGCTATGTGCAGCTAAGGGCATCTCTCTTTATCTTTTCATTTTGAGTTTGTGCTGCAAAGGCATGAGACAGCCTGTTAGTGATGCTTTCTTCAGTCTTCCTAGAAAGACCTTTTCCCTCTGGGAAACAGCTGGGAGATGCCAAGAGTTTCAGAGTTGCCAAATGAAATCTTTGCAAAGCTGGTCTGGTCATAGAAAAAAACATTGATAATGATTCTTTTACAAAAAGCCAGAAGCTCTCTGAAAGACATTTTGACTTTATTGTCCTGTTTTGAGTGGGTTTGATACTTTTTATCTTAAATGAGGCAAGAAATTTGGGGGGAAATGTCATAATACAGAGTGGGTTTTTGTCTTTAAAAGTGTCTACAAGGTTAGTTGGGATGTACTTCATACTTAGTGAGTACTAAGTTTATTTTAAGTCACCTCACTTATGTCTAAAGTGGACACCTGCTCTGGGATCCTGTTCAGCTAGCTTGTTCATGGTTTTAGGATTAAATGGACTTTGAGAACAAAATGTTATTTTTCAGGAAGTAGATGATGATTATCAAGTTTTAATGTTTCCTAAAGGTATACACCCTGTCAGTGTCCGGGGACAGGCTGATTGTGGGTACAGCAGGCCGCCGAGTGCTGGTGTGGGACTTGAGGAATATGGGCTATGTGCAGCAGCGCAGGGAGTCCAGCCTGAAGTACCAGACTCGCTGCATCCGTGCCTTCCCAAACAAGCAGGTACTGGTCTCCACAAGCTCCTTTTCTGGAATTTCCAAGAGGTGGTGACTTAAAATTTGCCTTGGGTCTGCTCTTCATAATCCTTTAAAGACAACTGCATGTTAAAGGAGAATAACTTAACCCCACAGAGGGAAGCCGTTCCTGGTCAAGTGCTTTGAATAGATTGTCTTATTGTTGGTTTTGGAATGGGATGCTTAATAAGTATGCAGTATCAAAGAATTTAAGATATTTCAGTTTATAAACCAATCAAAACTTAAATTTGGAAATTTATGTTTCTAGAATTTGCTTTTTTAAAATGAAGTCCTGGTTGGTGTCAGTTTTACATTCCTTTACTTTCAGCTTCTCCAAGGGTAGGGTTGCAGATATGCCTTTGTGGTTTTTAATCCTAATATTAGCAGAATTGTTTCTCTCACTTAACAAGAGAGCTTTGATACTTTCTTTTCTTTTTTTTTCTAAGAATGCCGCTGAGATCACCTAGTGTCTCAAATGATGGCTATCTCATGATGTACTGAGTAGGTCTCCTGCTATCATTTCTAAAAAAAAATTAGTAACCTCCCTTTTATTAACAGTCCTTAAAGCTATAAGGGGAGGTTAGCCTTGGTAGTGTATTCTTACAATCTTAGCACTTAGAAGTCTGAAGCAGGAAGAGTGTGAGTTCAAGGTCATCATGGGCTATAAAGTGAGACGCTGTCCCAAGAAATAGAAGGGCAGTTGGTTGTGAGGTGAGCTGCTGTGGGTTTTTTGTTTGTTTGTTTTGTTTTTTAAGAGAAAATGTCACTTAAAGCAGTAGATGCATTTGGAATCAGGGCTGTCCTTTAGCTGCTGTGGAATATGGGGCAGGAAGTTAGTTCTCTTGGCTCTGTGTCTCATCTTGAGCCTCAAGTGGTGATCACAGTTCTTTTAAAGAAAGGATAAGTACTTTAGATTGTTAGCTGCAGTGAGTGAAACTTAACAGAGGTTTCAAAGGGATTAAAACATGCTTGCATTACAAAAATATTTTTGTGTCTATCTTTAAATTTTTCTGTAGGATTATCTTTGCTTTTATGATGAATGCGTAAAGTAGGATTTATTTATTTTTTTAAAATGGAGATGGCTCAGTGGGCAAAGGAGCTTGCTGCCAAGATTGATATCCTGAGTTCTAGCCCTGGGACCCATGTGGTGGAAGGAGACCACCAACTGCTGCAAGTTGCCCTCTGACCTCCACTCACAAGTATCTTTGCACACACATACACTTGCATGCACATAAAATAAATAATAAAAAAATGGAGTATGTCTAGTTCATTTTCTGTGAGCAGTTTTTGGGAATAACTTTTTAAAGAATATCTTGACCAAAATGTCAAGATGTAAAAAGCACAAATTTCATAATCATTTTGTAATTTTTTTTTAAATATGTTGTTTCAAGGAAGATAAAAAACAGTTTGAAACTAGGAAGCACTTTTGACTGTTGCTCACAGTCTGGTTTATGCAAACCTGACTCACTGTAGTAAATGCAGAGGTGGGCCAGCTGAGCTGAAACTGGATTACTGGTACGTCATCCTGATGAGGGGGCACAGTACTGAAGATGGAGAGGAGGTTTTAACTGAGGCAACAGATTGGAGTCCAGGGCAGGAGACAAAGGATACTAAAACTTAAAAATTTAGATGTTTGGTTACACTGCGCTAGGTTGCTGATAGTGTGGAGAAAGCGAGTAAAGGTGGCACCATTTCTTATAAAGCAGGGGTGTTGATGTTCTTAGCTATTTATAGAGGTGTCATGACTGTCAGTACAGCTCCAATCCTTTATTAAACCTGGCTGAACTTTCATTTCTGAACTAGTTCTCTTTATGGATTGAATTGGAGACCTCATGTGCTCTCTGGAAGGCACGTCTTGCCATTTGGACCTCTGTTCTCTCGGCAGGGTTATGTGTTGAGCTCCATTGAAGGCCGAGTGGCAGTTGAATACTTGGACCCAAGCCCTGAGGTTCAGAAGAAGAAGTATGCCTTCAAGTGTCACAGGCTAAAGGAAAACAACATTGAGCAGATTTACCCAGTCAACGCCATTTCCTTTCACAATATCCACAATACATTTGCCACAGGTGAAGTATGACACACTGGCCTGAGCTGAGTTTTACTGTTTTATGTTCAGGCAGAATCTTAAGAGTTTGTTTGCTTTGGTACAAAGAGCCATTTTAACAAATTACATTACTTGCAGGTGGTTCTGATGGATTTGTAAATATTTGGGACCCATTTAACAAAAAGCGGCTGTGCCAGTTCCATCGATACCCCACTAGCATTGCGTCTCTTGCCTTCAGTAATGACGGAACTACGCTTGCAATAGCATCGTCATATATGTATGAAATGGATGACACGGAGCATCCTGAAGATGGTATCTTCATTCGCCAAGTGACAGATGCAGAAACAAAGCCCAAGTGAGTATGCTTCACCTGGATTGAAGCCTTTTCTTGCATTCAACCCAGGACTTATTAATTTTTCTAAATTCATGAATAGCATTGTTGATGCCTGCTCGATATTACAGCTGACTGTAGGGTTGGAGTTGATTTTATCTTGTTCTCCCAAGCTTTCAATATCCGTAGGTTGATAGACGTCTGATGGATAAAATTGTGCCTAGTTGTTTTGTAGAGAAGAATGTCAAACTCTCATTCTTCTTGAATAGGCTCTATTATTTGAATCTCTGAAGTTACTACTAGCTCATTGCTTTAAAATTAAGTTGAGGAATTCAAGAATATTTATTTTAGTAAATTCTATTTAAGATATTTAAGAATTTGAACTGACCCCCCCCCAAAAAAAAAATTTTCCCTCTCCAGAGATTGTTTCTGTAATATTTACAGAGGTGAATGACCTTTGGTCTTATTGGAGACCCAGAGTAATATGGCCTTGCCTAGCATAACAGATTTCCTTAGAAATTTTCATAGATGTTGCTAGCTGTAGGTCCTAACTGTTGACTGAAAGGGGCAATCTGGGTTTTTTGGCAGTAGCAGGAAAAAGTCTTTTACTTAGTGATCTTTTCTAGGCTCTGAGAACACAGAGGCTTAGGTACAGAGTACACCATGCAGTGCCTGCCCCATGTATCTTGTCCTTTTCCTTGTCCCTGGTCTCAGGTCCTCAAAGGAAATTCTCAGGAAATATTTGTGACAAGGAAATGTGTATTGGACTTCTGTGACTTTCTGAAGTGCCATTGCTAAATTTTAGGAGCAGAGAATTTCACAAGGAGTAATGAATGTGCTTTTCCAGGTCGGTTTTAGAATGTGGAGCCTATTGGATAGAGGTCTGTGTTTGCATTTAATCTGTCACTTTTATATTTCTTGTCCTGGCCGGCCATTTTGATCTCCTGCTGTTCTTTTTTCTTTTGAACTTGTAGGTCACCATGTTCTTGACAAGATTTCATTTACTTAAATGCCATGTTGATGATAATAAAACAATTAATTGGTCCTCGACAGTGGTGGATTTATAACTTAACAGGGAAATACTAATTTTTTAAGAACCTGAAAATAAAGGAAAAGAGGTTTTTCTTATTTTTTCTCTTTTAATGGTTTGCTACATTAAAGGTATTTTGGCAGAAGGGATTGGAGGGCAGTGACTGCAGTTTTGAGAAGCAGTCTTGACCTTGATTTTTGTTTCTGGTGTGGAAATAAATGTTTATAAATAGAAGTAATAAAAATCCCTTTGTGTTCTTTTGGACCTTAAATGGTAAAGGAAAAGGCTCTTGAGCCATTGATTTCTTTGCTGGTGATAGTTGGTAATTCGAAAGCTGCTTCAGACTGCCTCATGAGGAGGTTAATCTACAATTAAACAATATTTCCTCTTGGCCGTCCATTATTTTCTGAAGCAGATGGTTCATCATTTCCTGGGCTGTTAAACAAAGCGAGGTTAAGGTTAGACTCTTGGGACTCAGCTAGTTTTCAATCTTATTAGGGTGCAGGAGGAAAACTAATAAGAAAACCTCCTAACATCATTTTGTGACTGTAAACAATTATTTATTAGCAAACAATTGATCCCAGAAGGGCAAATTGTTTGAGTCAGTAATGAGCTGAGAGAAGACAGAGCATATCTGTGCATTTGGGAAAGTCACTGTTAACGTAATTGCAGTACATTTAGACAGGCATCTATCTGGACCTGTTTCTATCTCTAAATGAATTTTTGGAAACATTAATGAGGTTTACATATTTCTCTGACATTTATATAGTTCTCATGTCCATTTCAGTTGCCCAGCCGCTGGTGATTAAAGGTTAAAAAGAAAAAATTATAGTGAGAATGAGATTCATTTTGATGTAATGTCTTGTAGCAGAACACGAACTTAGCTTGGCCTGTCTTAAGTAGTTCCAGTGTTTCTGTGGTTAGGCTTCTTATTCTGATGTGCATTATTTGTAAATGTGCATCTCCGGATAGGACATAGACCTTTACTGAAGTTTATTTTACCCACAGTGTACTTTGTAAAAATTCTTCTGGGACAGAGGAAGGTCTTGTTTTTATTTTGTAAGATTTCAAGTGTGACATCTAAGTGGATGCTTTGAACTGTGTTTTCTTCATTGCAGGTCCACGTAATCATATGGTGGAAGTTGTTTCTCTGTGGAAAGCTTTGCTTCCTACAAACACTTGCTTCTCCCAAGGGCTGCTGTAGTCATTGGAGACTCCGTCTAGTGTGTGGATCTCTGTTTCCTGTCATAACAGAAATGTCTCTTGTCTACTCTGTAATTGTTTGGGGTGGGGAGGCTTCATGCCCTTGTACAGTAGTCGAATTCTCCTGTCCCTAAGTAAGCCCTGTTGCTGTTAATATTCCAGCTCTTTATAGCACAGTCTAAAACTGTTAATATTTTTCTGCTGTCTAAAAAATCAGATTTGGGACTTTTAAAAGTTGGGTGTTTTTTTTAAAGATTTTGGTAATTAGTGTCATTTACTGCATAACAAGACTTTGCTTAGGCAAAGTGTTCTTTATCAAGGGCATGTTGTGAGTGACATTTGACCTTTAAATGTACTCTGCCTCATTTATTTATGTCTGCTCTTGTACATTTCCCCAGCCCTGGATAAAGTAATGCACTTAAGTTCACTCAGCCAATTGGTTCATGTTCCCTTGGCGGGTCAGTGACACCCGTGAACCATCTCTACAGCTCTCCTCAGGATGGGCATAGACTGGCAGCCTCAGGGCATCTCTGGCATAGTGCTATAGCAATGCCAGTGCTGTGGAGAGCATGTATCCCTGTGCTGACAGACATCCTCTGCAGACAGAGAACCAAATGACTTCGCCATCAGATACTACATCAAAGGGAAGTTCTCGGGGTGGTAAATGATGTAACAGCCAGGAGCTGACTGGTGGCATTGTATGCTTTTTTAAAAGTTGTAACCACTTGATTGAGAGCAGAGCATAAGTTCCAAACATTGTATTAAAGATGGCCAAATTAAAACCATATATTGGACTTGTGTTTGATGTGGTGTGAGAGAGCTTCTTCTGGTGGCTTCATTTAAATGTCCCTCTCTGTCCCTTAAAACAAAATGTGTCTTCCTGCCTCCCCTGCATACTACTTGCCCAGCTCACCATCTCAATTTGCCTGTTTGTTATCACAGCTGCTTTTACCTTCAGTTTGCTAGGTATAGTTTACCGTGGCCCTTTCTTTTTGAGACTTTATTTTGTGTTTGGGTGTTTTGCCAATATGAATGTCTTTACACCAGGAGTGTGCAGTACACTCTGAAGTGAGAAGAGGGTGTCAGATCTCCTGGAACTGGAGCTAGAGACGGTTGTGACCCTCCATGTAGGTGCTGGGAATTGAACTCGGTCCTTTGGAAGAGCTGCCAGTGCTCTTAACCTTTGAGCTGTCTCTCCAATCCAACATTGGCATTTTCAATGGGTTTTCTTACTGATAATGTAAATGTTTCTTCACTCTGTCTTTCTGCTGACTACTACTATTCTCAGGGTCTTTTGGATAAATGTTACACATCAGTCCTTTTCCTAAATCCTGTGTCTCCTAGAATGATGTGTCTTTGTGTTTTAGCAGAGTACAAGTCAGATAATGGTATGACAGACTAAAGTCTGGTCAAATTTGCTTTTTGTATGTGGGGTATCTGGTGGGTGCATATGTGTATCTTTAAATTTAGTGTTGGTTATGATGTCTTGACATTATTTTACAATAAATACATTTGTCACTTGCAATTTTCAGAAACTGCTCAGTGTCTTGCAAAATTAAAAAATAAGAATAGTAATATTTGTAATGTGCTGTCTCGGGGGTCTCATGTTTCCCATTCTCATACTATCACAGAAGGAGTGCTTTTGGAGTCTTTGGCTATCAGCATGGATGCAGTTGACTAAAGTATTGTCAGGAAAATGGGGTGGGGCTGCCCTTACCGTGGAATCCTACTAAGTAGATGAAATAAACTGCTGTGGCAGCAGCCTGTGGTACTGAGTCCCACTACAGAAATGGGAAGGTGTTTGCTGCTCATCCTCTGCCCCCTGGGGCATGAGGCCTTGACTTAAGGACTGGGACTAAGGTTATAGGCTACTATGCCTGGCTTAAAAGGCTTTTTGAAAAAGCCGTGGAACTTTCTGCTATGGAAGTGTCATAAAATATGCACATATATACAGAGATTTAATGGGTGATGTCTGCTTATATATTTTTCAGTTTGTCACCCCCAAATTCCTTTGACTTGTGTATTTACTTGGCTTTTGTTCATACCTGTGGCTGAATTGTTTACCTTTTACTATTGGCCAAGAAGCGCTGGAACCTGCTACACCCAGAGCTGGGCTTTGTTTCACTCCAGCTCTCCTTTAATTCTTTCTGGATTGTTGTTTCAGGTCTTAATACAAGGTCTGACTGAAGGTGCCCGCTTCTATGAAGCCCTCAGTCCTTGTTTGCAGCTCAAAACTAAAGGTCCATAGGAAGTGCTTCCTGCCTCCACTTTTGGTATTTTGAGCTTTTGAGGATTATTTTAGAGCCCACATTTACTTTTTTTTTTTTTTTTTTTTTTTTTCAAAACCAGGGTTTTTTTTTTTTCCAAGACCAGGGTTTCTCTCTGTAGCTTTGGACCAGGCTGGCCTCGGACTTGGAGAGATCTACCTGTCTCTGCTTCCTAACTGCTGGGATTAAAGGTGTACACCACACATTTACTTATCTGTGTGTGGGTTCTGTGGCACACAGGAGAGGCTACTGGGCAGCTTGTGGAAGTCAGTTCTTCTACCGTATGAGTTCTGGGAATTAAAGTCAGGCTTGGTCTAGCTGCCTTTACTCACCAGCGAGCTACCTCACTTCACTGCCCTTGCCTTTAACACTGCTGAATGATGTAGATAGAGCCTCTTCAGTACACTTCTAATGCAGTTGTGGAATGTTGACACAAAGGTGCTTTGTTAGTTCAGTCAATATTGTAGAGCTGATCTTCAAGCCTTGTCGGTATGGACTTTCGCTGCTCCAGAATCAAATCTGTTTCCTGGGGATCTTGGAGTTGAGCTTTCAGCTCTGGCTGCAGCGCCTAATTCCTTGCATCACTGGCCAAAGTCCTTTCTCAGTTGTCTCTCCATATGTATTGTGGAGGAAACACTGAGCTTACAGCATTATGAACAAGCATGCACACTGTATCAGAGTATGTCAGACACAGTCCCAGTGCAAATCCCTGCCATCTGGATAAACATTCACCCCAGGTGGAGAGTGTAGCTCAGTGGTAGGGCCCTTACCTACTACTTACTGTCTGTGAGGCCTTGGGTTTGGTCTCCAGCACAGAAGAAAAAAAATATTTAATTGGTAAACTGACTTAATTCTTTTAGGGAAAACAAAGTGGTTCTTAAATAATTTCTGGCTCCCTAGTTACTAAGGATACTTGTATATTTTAAAAATATGAACTGAAGTAGCAAAAGTCCCAAATCACATCCATAAATTATCCTCTGGCTTTGAAAGTGTTCAGTATTCTGTCTGTTTTTGAAGAGGCACATATGAAGCCTCATTGTATCTTTTGGTACTGTACCCTCTTACAAGTAGGCGCAACGGATCCATACACAGTACATACTCTGACTTTTTCAGTTTGCATATATGCTATAGTCTCTTTAGGATGAACTTGTCCCCACCCAACATCAGGTTTTGTTACTATGATGTAGTAGAAGGGAGGGGCTGAAGCTGTGAACAGCTCGACCCAGTAGCAGCAGCTGAACCAAGCACCCCTTTCTCAGGAAATCAGCCCATTACAGTAATGAAGGAATGGCAGTTGTCTTACTCATTGGCTCTTTCAAGGGTGAGAACTTAATACCCTAATGAAGGTTCTTGTTCCCCCAGGAAAAATGTACACATGTTAATGTACTCAGTAAACGGGGTGGTGTGATGTCTATTAAAATGACGTTTGTGTTGTCATCGGGGAAGTAGACACACCTCAGGTTTGAATGTGTCCTTTGACTCCCCAACCTTAGCCTCTGAAATGTCCCAGGGCACCCCATCTTTCACTTGGGGAAGTACTGACTTAAGCTATTAGGGGTAGTTAGAGAGGTTTCCTTTCAGAATGGCACCTGGCTGCATTGCTTTGGAACAAGCACTAAGAGAAATGAAAGCAGCTGCTCCTGGTGGCCACAAATACCAATTGGGACATTGAGTACAAAGGCACTTTCCCCTTGATCAGTGGCGTGCTGAAACAGGGCTTTCATTTTCCAAGGATGCCCACAGAACTTGGCCTGGGGTTGCTGTAGGGCACTGGCTTTTTAGCTTTGTGTGCTGAGGTGGGAAAGAAAAACATCTGAAGGTGAAATATCAACTAATTTATAGAGGTCTGTATTTGGGAAATCATGATATGAGTTTGTCTGTTCATTGAGTATAATTCATGATGTGGCAACTGGTCTTCAGAACTTACTTTAAATGAAAAGCAATTGATTGCATTTTGTTGCTTTGTTTTCCTTGAATACATCCCTGGCTAACAGTATGACTTCCCAAATTACCTGCCTTGCAAAGGGAAAAGGAAATGCTTCAGTGACCTTCAGCGTACTATTTGTCAGACTTAAATAACCGAAGGTTCATCCTGTGCTTTATTTCATTAACTAATTTCTCAAGAAATATTTGTTCACCTCTGACCAGTTCTGTGTAGTTAACACAAAACTGAAGAAGTGGTACAAATCATACCTACTGGTTTACTGGGCCAATGTAATGAAGTACCTTTGTCCCCTTTATAGGACTCTGTTACAGGCTATTGCAGTAATTTAAAACCCTTGTACCTTAGACTCTTGACCTTGTTATAACATCACTTTATAATTCTCAAAATACTTGGCTCTTGAAGATTTTCTTAGCACCAGCCATGTATTCTTAAAGAGCCCGATTTGTCTTCAGTGTAATATTACAATATCTCCTCTGCTGAGATACAGCATTCCCAGAGTTGCTGGACAGAAACCTTCCGATCTTACCATGGCACGCAGGTACTGGTGTTTTCCACTTGGAGGAATACCCTAGTTTGGAACAGCAGCAATGCACAGCTTCAAGTGTGGATGCAGCTGCTTTCCTGGTTACTGTAGTTCATTGAGAATGCTGGTTGTTTCGGGGAGCTGAGCTTTCCACATGACCCCAACATAAAGGTAATTCTGGAAGTCGAGGACAGGCATACCAGCTGCTGTTCACTGGTTGGTCTTTGTCCTCTCCAGTCACTATGGGAGTCTACATGAGCATTGCCCTTCCAGAGCTTGTACCATGGTGTTTTGGTACCCTGTTCATTATTTATTTGAGATTATAATATAATTTCACCATTTCTCCCCTTTCCTTTCTACAACTCCTTGAGTATGCATTCCATCCCCTGATCTCTTTCATATTCACGGTCTCTTTTTCAGTTGTTGTGTATGTGTGTATGTGTAGTCCTAAATGTATGAATACAGCCTGCTCAGCCCACGTGTTACTTGTTTGTATGCTTTCAGGGCTGACCATTTGGTAATGGATAACCAGTAGGTGTGCTCTTCCCTGGGGAAGACTATGTATCTCCTGCCCTCAGCATTCCTTAGTTGCCCGTAGTTCTTTGTGTAGGGTTGAGGCCCCGTGAGTGGTTCCCTTTCCGAATTAGCGTTGTTCAGATCTCTTTAGGCAGCCATGTTGGTGAGACTTCATAGTTTCTCCAACATTTCTAGGATACACAATCTCACATGAAACTCTGTTCCTCTGGTTCTTTCTACCCCACTCCCCCCCCCCCACAAAACAACACAACAAACAACAACAAAACCACAACAAAAACCCACCCCCAGGAACCCCTTTCCCCCTGTTTCTTTCCCCCCCCCCCCCCCCCCCCAAAAAAAAAACAAAAACAAAAACCAACACCCTAAACCTACATCTCTGCAATGATCCCTGAGCAGGAGTTGTGTGGTAGATATCCTGCATTTTAACCAGTTGTGATCTTCAGTAATGGCCTCCATCCTTTGTAAAGAGAAGTTTCCTTGATGTGGGGTGAGTTTAAAATGTAGTTATGGATCATGCTGGTTTAGTAAAATGGTAGTTTTAGGTTCTCCAAGATCCATAACTTCATTAGCCCCAAGTCATTGGCTAGGTTTCTATTACCAGGCATGATTTCCCTCTTGTTGAGCAGGTCTTAAGTTCAATTAGAGTTACTGGTTACCACCAAGGTGTGTGTGCAGCTGCTGCACCCTTAGGAATATTGTGCCATGCTGGTCATTATGGCTCCTAATCATCCTAGTTGGGTAATCTGCTTATTTTAACTATACTAACAGACTGTGTGCTAGTCTCCATTGGACTTGGCTTTTGCTTGACCTAGCTTTGCAATAACATACATGTGCTGCCAGTCATTATCCAGGGTTTACTTTTGAATCAGACAAACATTTGAAACTGTCAAATGATGAGAGAAATGTCTTTGTTTGGACTCCAGTGAAATAGAGTTGGGCCAGTGAAATAGCTCAGCAGTTAAAAGCCCTTGCCCACTTCCCTGCTTGCCGTGAAAGCCTTGATGACTTGAGTTTGATCATAGAACCCAGGCAAAGGTGGAGAGAACTGGCCTCGAAGAGTTGCCCCCTGACCTCCACATGTGGGCTATGGCATGTGCACATCCACATATGTTACCTCCCTCCATAATAAATTTAAGACCCCAGAATATGTGATAAATTAACTTGACCAGAGTAAAAGCAAATGGAAATAAGAGGGGATATATTTAATTCCTGAATAGTTACTAATTCCTGAATAGTGAATTATTTATAGATAG